GAAGATTATTCCAAAGAGAATACAACAGTACATCAACAGAGAATTGTCTGGAAGTCAAGCCGAGACAATCAAGGGTCTTGGCAGTCACAGTCTCCCCACTTCGGATTCTTCCTGGTTCTCCCCTGGGGGTGCTGAGCAGGGCTGCAGCGGCACCTGGCACCTCTCCTGACTTATCTGACCCTCTGGGCTCACTTTCCCACACTGAGCCCCCCAGGCCAGCCCAATGCACTGAGCAGCTCTATGGTTCTGCAGGTAGGATGAGACAAGGGGAGCTGAGGTCCAGGTTCTGAGCACCCTGTTCAGTGCCTGGAATGAGTTGTTAATCAGAATCAGATGGCCAGACCTTACTTTCAAGGTACTTGGGTGGGTGTGAGACATCACCCTTCTGGTTAGCGGTCCATCGGCTTAACTGTTTGCATCACCAGTGGCTTCGAGCTCAGTGGGCACACCCAGCCCAGATGCCACCGCCTATAACTATGGCAAAGGTTGGGTACTTTTTTTTGCCTAGGGCCACTTGGATGTTTAGAGCATTATCCTCCGTCCGATATTGAATTAACTCACCCTAAATGTGATGGCTGGGAGGAAAATGGGGCTTTCTACTCCCGTTAAGAGTTACAGTCTCCGATGCTCAGAGGGGGCAGTTCTACCTGTCCTGTAGGGTCGCTATGAGTCAACATTGACATGCTGGCAGGGAGCTGAGCTGAGCTGAATGTGGCGGCTGGAAGGACTTCTCTTGGGCGAGGCGTGTGGTGTTGGCTGACTTGACGATTCCCACCTCTGCTCCATGGCTTACGCACATTGGAGAGTCCCAAGAGTGAGCAAGGGCTAGAGGTGACCCTGCTGTGTAGACGCCTTTCGGGGAAGGGGACTTCGGGAATTAAAGTGGGTTAGTCTTTCTTTCTCGATCTTTGGATTGTTGTAGCTTCTGAACTTTGATTTCTCTCTGACCCCCACCAACCCTGGCTGGGGCTGGAGCTGGAGCGTCTCCCTGTTCTGTTTGGCCTTCTTCCTCACTGTCCGGGTTTTTTGGGGTTGGTTTTCCCCCCGTTCCGGGCCTTTTCTTCCCCCCACCCCCACGTGATAGTGCGGTTTTGTGCCAACTTGACTAGGCCAGGGTCTTAGTGGTTTGGCTGTAGTCCCCACAATGCTATCAGCTCCCTGCTGGCATCTAAAGTAACCTTATCAATTCTGTGAGCGCCCAGCATCTTTGGTGTGGTGGAGCATCCTGGATTAGGTTACAGCCTTCATGCAATTGGAAGAATGATCCCTAAGGGGTGTGGCCTACTGCTTTTTAAGCACGCTTCACTCCTGTGCACCTGGGTCCTGCACCTGACTTGCCGGCCTCCTGCCATATTGCCTGCCCTATCCTGTGAGCCATCAACAGACTGCCGACCTCGGATTGGATTTTGGTATCGACCAGCCTGTGGTCTTCCTGCTTTCTGGTTATCAGCCTCCACAGTTACACGAGGCAGCAGGAGGAGACTCTGGCTTACCATTTGACCCACAGACTGACTGAAACCATCTTGGACTTACCTGCTTCTTCAACTCTGTGAGCCCTTCCTTGATCTCATTCTCTTTCGGTACACATACCCGTTTAAGTGTCACTTGATTACCCACAGGGAGCCCTGGTCATGTAGGGGTTATGAGCTGGGCTGCTCACTCCCAGGTCAGTCCTTTGAAACCACCAGGTATTTCACCAAGTGTTTACTACCACCAACAGTGAACAGACTCAGAAACCCACAGGGCCAGTTCTACCCTCTCCTGTAGAGTCCCCATGAGTCAGAACTGATTCGATGGCAGTGAGCAAAGTATATGACCGGGCAAAGGCATTCAGCTGTGAGGATCACAGCAAACCCTGGGAAGCCTTGAGAAAAATGGGAATTCCAGGACACGTTGTGGTGCTCATGCACACAGAGCAAGGGGATCCTGCGTGGTTTGAAATCAGGAAAACTGTGCGTCAGGGCTGTATCCTCTCACCACACTGACTCAATCTGTGTGCTAAGGGTGTAATTGTGAAGTTGGATTGCAGGAAGAAGAAGGCGGCATCAGGACCGGAGGAGGCTCACTCACAACCTGTGATATGCAGATGACACAACCTTGCTTGTTCACCGTGAGGCGCACTTGAAGCACTTGCTGATGAAGATCGAGGGTTGTAGCCATCGGTATGGGTTCTAACTCAATGTAAAGAAAACCTAGATCCTCACAATTCGGCCCGTAGGTAACATCATGGTAAACTGAGGAAAGACTGAAAGTCAAGGGTTTTTGTCTTGCTTGGGTCGACAATCCATGCTCGTGGAAGCCGCAGTCAAGAGATCGAAGGATGCACTGCACTGGGTAAATCGGCTGCACAAGACCTCTTTAGAGTGCTGAAAGGTGAGAATGTTATTTTAAGGACTAAGGCCAGCCTGACCGAAGCCACGGTATTTTCCATCCCTTCATAGGCACGCAAAAATGGGGCATGGAATAAGGAAGGCTCAAGAAAACGCTGGAGCTGGAGAAGACTATTGAAAGTACCACGGACTGCTCAAAGAACACACCGAGCTGACTTGGAAGAAACATGGCCAGAACGCTTCTTAGAATCAAGATGGCGAGGCTGTCTCGCTTGTATGGACATTGTGTCAACCGAGGGACGGCAGGCTTAGTAACGTGGAGGGGCAGCGAAAAAGAGGAAGGGCCTTGATGCAATGGCTGGACCCCACGGCTGCAGCCATGGGTTCCGACAGAAGAACAATGAGGAGATGGCGCAGGACAGGGCAGTGTTTCGTTTTGTTGTACACAGAGCGGCTGTGGGTCAGAACTGACTCGCCAGCATTTGACAACAACATCAATGTCACTGTCTGGCTTCTCAAGAGAACCCAGTCTAACTTACCCAACAGTAGAGCATCCCCATGGAACCTTTCATGAGCCAAAATGGTATAAAGGAAGAAGCAATTTCCATTCATTCCTACAGGAAGCAAGTATGAGCCTTCCCAGACCCCAAACCTCCTACCAAACCCGATGTCTAATCTGCAGCTTTTAGGACTCAGAAGTGGTTAGGGCCCACCAGGCACCAGCTCAGCCTTATGAACAGAACATTCTGGAATGGGATTCTATTCCAGCAGATCCACAGGTACTCATATATAGGGCTTAAGATTCCAACATGCCTTTTTATTATTTTGAGGGGGGGCCCACAGTTCAACCCCTAACATGCACCCTTGGGTGTCAGGGCTTCCACTTAAGTCTTGGGCCAGGGCCTCCCTTCCCCCTACAGCCCTGCCTGCCAGTGTCCAGGCTCCCTGGCCCTGAAACCTGCAAGTCCCCACCACCCCTGGTCTTTCTGGTCACTTGAGCAATCTGCAGCCCTGGTGACACCTGGACTCGCCTTCTCTGGTCAGGACCTGCCTGCCCCTCAGGGCTCTTGTGAAGGGCTCAAGGGAGAAAGAAGATGGTTGAGATATCTCTTGGTTAATGTGGGGTTTGCTACTACACTCATGGGCATCTCCTGCCCACCCGCACCCCCACCTCTGCCCCAGGAAGCTGAAGAGAGACCCTCGCTGCATTTGGCAAGGTCAGGGAACAGGTGCCACTTGCTTCACCACCTCAACTCCCACACACACCCTCAACCCCCCCCACACACACACACACACCTATCCCTTCCCTCCCTTTCCTGCCACCCTCCAGGGTACCAGCTTCTGTCAGCACCAGTAACCTATCAAGAGCTGTGAGCCTGACCCTCACCCTCTGCTCGAGAGAGCCTGGTGATGGAGGGCGAGGCTGCAGAGGCCACACCAGGATACAGCAGACATGGGTCTGCAAGATTCAGAACATCCCCACATCGCTGCATTTTAGGAAAATGGATGAAAAGCTGATCAAACAGACTTTTGATGTCGTTGAAGAGGAGCTGGAGCTGCCTAGTGGAGTTGGAGGCAAAGTGTGGGCTGGACTTCTTGACAGCTGGAGGCGGAGTCTCCAGTCTGCCATCAAACTGAGAGGGATAAGAAATCAGGCCTCCGGAGGATTGCTCCTTCTGGGAGCCTAGAGGCTAGTGTGGCACCAGCAGGGCCAAGCCTGGAGGCTCCCGGCTTAGGCGATGGGGATTCTGGGAGCCCCGCTCACCAGAGATGCACAGCCTAGTTTGGTGTCCCAGGCTGCAGTCCTGATTCAGGAATATCACGCCTTGCTTGTGTCTGAACAGATAGGAGCTCACCTCCCCCCGCCCCTCAACTGGGCTCCTGGGGGACTTAAACCATCGACCTTTCAGTTAGCAGCCGCCCAAGAATCATTTCCAAACACTCCTGGCCTGTCCACAGAGCTTCTCTCCCCTCCAGAGGAGGCCAGGGAAAGAGGAGGCAGTCTGCATTTGCAAAGATTACAGAAACCCTGTGGGGCCAGTTGACTCTGTGCAGTGGAACTGGTGCGAGTCAACTGGAGG